CTGCTACACACTCAGCTTCCGTTCTGTTGTCCCTGTTCCACCAACCCCAGATATAACCGTTCCTGTAAGAGGTGCTAAATGCATTAGAGTGGAAGTTTTCTGCAATAAGCACAGATCCATTATGAGATTAATTATTCATGGTATTTTTTTATTTCATTTCTATCCTGCTCAGTTGCTGACGCTCTCAGAGCAGTTTATAACATTTCATAAAAGCAGTACAATAAAAATGCCATAACATCTTTTCAAAATATGCAACCATTTTAAAGAGAAAGATAAAGAACTCCTAACAAACATATGCTGAAGAACAATCTTGTAAAAACCCCTGAGATGGGCAATTCCATCAAACCCTCAGATATCCCAGTATGGGATATCTTTAAAAGCCTCCGCATAAAGGGCCTTCTTAACCTAGTACCAAAAAGATGGAAGGGTTGGAGCTAGGTGGGCCTCAGTGTGGAGCTCATGCCACAGATGTGGGGCCAGCACTGAGAAAGCCCTCCCTCTGTTGCAAACCTCTGAGCCTTTCTTGGAGTTGGCAAACAGAGGAAGGTCCCCGATGTTGGGCATGCTACCTGCAGTTTGGATCAAGTTTTGCCTGATACCCTCTAAATGTATTAGACTACACTACCCAGCGTTCCTGAGTATTGGCCCTGTCGGCAGGTGCTGGAGGGGCTGTATTTGAAAATACCTGGAAGGTATCCAGTTGGGGAAGGCTGGTATATATGCCCTAGGAGAGATTTTGGAGAATAAGACGCATTCTTAAACTAGGTGATACTATCTGTTCATCTAACCCAGTGTTGGTTTCTACTCAGAGTGGTGAGGACTCTTTCTCATTCTTTCTTTCTCATTCCCTGCTGTTGGATCCTTTTTTTAACTCAACATGCCGAGCCCTGCAATTTTTCTGGTATGATCCCTCTTGTTGTTTTCCCAATGTTTTAAGATCTGATTGTTTTCATTGGGGTTTTATTGTCAGTTGAATTTTTAGGACGCTGTGTTTTATTTTACATTTTGCATTGTTAAACCATCCCGAGACTTCAGTAAGGGACTGTCTAGAAAGGTTTTAGATAGAGTGAGTGAGTGAGCGAGCGAGCAGATGCTGAAATTGCCCAGTTCAAAAACTTCCAGAAAACGTGCAGCAGTGGACTCTTCGGTGTTTAGGTTCTTAAGTTGGTGGACAGCATAGCAGTCAGATCTATGGGGAGGATGATGAGCCTCTGCCAAAGGGTCCTGCAGATTTTTAAAGGTGCTCCTTTCCTTGTTTCATTGCTTCTTCCTCATTGCTGACCTGATCTGATAACAGAAATTCCAAGCAAAATGAGGAATAGGGGGACTGTTAGGCCAGACTAAAAGTCTTGTCTTCAATCTCCCTGTTGATAAGAGCAAGTAAACTAATAGTAACATACATAAAAGAGCAGACTTCTCCAAAGGAAACAAGAAGGGTGTGCCAAATGTTAACAGCACAACCTGGAGAATGTCCTTTTTCATATATAACTTTGTTAATAAAACTCCGTCTGCAAAGTTGGGTGTGTGCAAAGGGTGGACTTGTGCAAAGAAAGGGCCCCTTACACAATCCCTGGCATGAAACCTGTCCGCCTGGGCAGGGAATAGAGGCCAGGTTTCCACCTTCTCCTTAGCAGCATCAGCATGCAGAGGGCTCCTCTGTGCACAGGTACATGGGATTCTGCTCGACTGCAGGCCAGACCTTTGGTCCGTCCCAGCCAGTAGCATCTGCCGTGACCAGCAGAGACTCTCCAGGGTCTCAGGCGGAGGTGTGAGCTGAAATCTTCTGTGGTCATGCCAGGATATGAATGGACTATTTTCATGGGCATGCATTCGCATGACTTCCTATTTTTTTTTAATATGTGTGTGTGTGTGTGTGTGTGTGTGTGTGTGTAAGTGGTTTATAATAAATGAGTAAACAATTAAAAAACAATAAGGGCAGATGCATTTATATAAAATCTTTATTGAACCAGTCCTTGAAACAACACGATTAACAAACGCACATGGTGGCACGATCAAAATCAAACAGGGAAGGCCCGTGTGAAGAACAGGGCCTTTGGGTACTAATGAACTCGTGCCACAGTCGGTGCCTCTCACATTCCACAATGAGGACAGTCCAGAAGGTGAACTGTGGACCCTCCCCAGCCAGGGACTGAATGATGCGCCTTCTGCCATGGGGTTTCTGCCACGGGGCCACGGTCACCACCTGTTCCTTCTCCATCGGAAATAATGGTGTGCATTCACTGACAAGTGAGAAAATAAACACAAAACAACACCAGTAGCAATCCTTGGTGGCCTCAGCTAAAAAGAATCAAGTGTGGCTTTAGTTGCGTAGTCCTTTTCCATCTGCCGAGTCCCACCTTCGGTTGATTCTTGGTCCCACTAGAGGCAAAGTGCACAACTTGGAGGCCCGTGGGGCATAGCTGACCTTTCTCGGGTCCCAGCTGGCCCTCCAGAATTCCTTAGAAGTCCAGCCTCCCTTCCAATGTCCCTGCCTTTCCCTAGCCACCGACGGGGTGGTTTCCCAGTTTCTGCCTATATTTCCCTATTCCAAAAAACCATCGAAATTCCTTTCCTAAGGTTTAGTTCCTTGCAGTCTGACATCCAGCCTGAACTATGCTGGTATCTGGATTGCCGTTGTGCCTTTCCTTCGCCCCCACCCGTTGCTGGCATGTGCTCCTCAGGAGCTTGTCCGGCACGGAAACCGGCCCTCTGATTGAATGAGGTTCGACAGCCCTGTAACGCCGTGTTGTGACTGACTTGGCTTTTGCGTGGCTGTATTGATAGCGTGCTGCCCGAAAGCTCTGGTTCAAGCACCACTTCCTTCAGGCTCCCTCTCACACAGGCACTTCCCCCTCCCTCTTTTCTGTGGGAGAGCAGCAGGTTGCACCTGCGTGTCACCTGCACAAATGTCAGTGTGACGGGAAGTGATTTAGCACGGCTTTCTTTCTGTGAATGACTGCTGGTAAATTCTAAGCACAGCCTGACAGTTCAGGTTTTAGCTCTGTGGGGAACCGCAGGCATGGCGGGTTGAGCAGGCACGGCGAACAAGCTGTCCGTTTGAGATTTATGGGCATTTCTTACCTCCAGCCCTCGCTGGTGATATATGATGAAGCTGGAATCTCCGGCGTGGAGCTCTCGAGTCCCTTTCAGACGGCGTTTGCCTCTCGGTGGTGAAATGCCTTTTTGTTGCCCATTTTTCATGCTCGGATGGAAACAGGATGGTGACTTGTCCTGTGGTGGACCTTTCATGTTTTCTCTTAAAGCTGTAGACACATGGATTAAATCAGGCAAACTGTTTCCAACAGGGAGGGGAAGGAGGCTGGAGAAGAGGAAAGCTGCATGGTTTAGGTTCTGTTTTGGAGACGGGTTGCATTACGCACCCGCCCATTCATGCACGATCAAGGGAGACATGCGCTTGTTGACTGGGGGAGAAGTTAGGGCATCTTGGGCCTTCACTGGCCCATGCTGCCTTTGGAAGCTTCAAGCAGAACCTGTCCAGTTTCCCAGTTCTGTTCCCAAAACTGTTCTCAAAACGATGGGGACTCGCTGCCCAGCCACATTCTCATGTTTTTCCAGCTCTTGACCTAGCCTAAAACTGGCAGGAGCCTTCAGGGGAAGTGCAAGAGCTCGAGAAGCATTCCCCACCACGGATCATGTGGGCAAGTCTGAGCGTTAGGGGTGCTTTGCCTGGCCCTACCAGGAGCCCCTCTGACCTCATCCCAAGCCCTGCCTTGGTCCCAATTCTCTGCCTTTCCCCTGCATGTACCAGGCAGCAGAAGACAAGGTGGGAGATTCGGATTCATTGGTGGTATCCAGCAGCAGCCTTGCATGGAATGGACCCATTGACATGAATGGCTGTACGTCCCAACCAGTGCAAGTCCCATTCATTTCAATGGGCTTACTCTGTGTAGGACTACCATTGTATCCCACCCATTGTATCCCACTAAGGGCTCTTCCGACCCACGCAAAGCAGGATCCATTCACGAGTAGGTGAGTGTATGTGTATGTATCCCATGAGTGCCAAAGTCCAAATCACACGTCGCATTGCTCAGTTCATTTCATTTCAGGGCATAGCAGGACGTTGTTGTGGGAGGGGCCCGGCTCAGCACCCGTCCACTTCAAGTGTAGACTAAGAGCTTTCCAGTCCAGAGCATCACAGAGAGTGGAGTCAGGGAGACTGGCCACCACAGGACACTGTAGACTCATGGGATGCTGAGCCAGTCCTGAATGCCTGTCACCTCCTTTGGATGGGGACGCATGGAGATTTGCTGTGTCTGCCCTGTATTTGAAGGTCACAGCTCGACCTGGCCTGTTGCAAATCTCTGTGGAGGCCAATGCTATCACAACGCATTTAACTGCATTGTGACACCTGTACATTTTTCCCAGCCCAAGAACAGTGTGTTACAAGGCACAGGACTTGAGGTGAAGCTCTGGGTGGGGTGAGGAGGAAGAAACTCCCAACTTGGGATGCACCGAAACAGGGAGCTCTGGGTATTTTGAGCTCAGTGGACTTCCTGGTTGCTTCTGATCTGATGATTGCAAGTGGGGCAAAGAGAGGGAAGAAGGTTTGCACACTTCTGTCTCTAAGCTAGATGGTAATATGTACATTTGTTTGAGCCACTAACGAAATTTATGCAAATTAGCATCTGAAAACAACATGGCTCTAGAATGATTATACAGGCATCGTGCTGTAGCCCCATGGTTTTCAGGTGCTTATTTGCATGCATTTCATTAATGGTTTTAGAAAAATGTACAAATTACAGTCCATCTTAGAGTCCACAGTCTGTAAACAAGTTGACTCAGCTTGCAGTACATTAAGCTGATCCCCATGCAAGGCCAAACTGGAATCTGGGTGGCTGAACTGTAGAAATTGCTTGGATTTTGACACACACATACACACGTACACACAGACACACCCCAATCTTACCTGTAATGCTATATTAAGTGGAAAGAACCATTACGTTGCCAGTGAGGTTTTCCCTTCTCTTTTGTGTGTCTAGGTACAAAAGGAAGGAGGTGCTGCAGCCAGCAGACTGTTCGTTGCCGGGATCCTTGGCCTTCACATGATCTAATCAGCGACCCCTAATGAAATAATTTTCTAGGAAACATGATCTTGCCTTAACTTACTTTTTTTTTTAAGATTTCTCTTCTCACATAGCAAAAGAAGTGTATTTGACACTGCTGATAATTTCCTCTCAAATTGCCTGGGTGGCAAAGAGAAAATTACAATTATTTGTTTTGATTAAACCTTTGGAAGTAGAAATTAGCAGCTGTTCGGGGGGAACTGAAGAAAAGAGATTTGAAAGCTAGATGCATATTTTCTTGTAAAGGACGAGAAGAAAGAGCCTCTTTCCCAATTGCTCAAGGAAGCAGCTACACGCGCTGTTCTTTGAACACTAAAAGTAATTAAATTGACTTGTTGCCTAAGTTAAGCAAAGGACCCTCGCGACCTCCACTTCTTACCTCCGTTGCCATTTGCTCAGGCATCCAAGTGAAGGAATCACAAGTCAGCATGCTTCCCAGCTGGAAAAAGAACATGAAAATGTTTGTATTGGCCTTGCTTTTTGTCATCACGATCACCTCATTCTTGCTGAACTACACAAACAATGCCCCCATCATGACCTGGGACCCTAAACAGATGGTGTACCAGTTTTCAGAACAGGTTAAAAAACTGATGAAATACGCCAGGCGTCCATGCAGCTGCAATACATGCATCTCTGAGCAAGAGGTCTCGCCCTGGTTCGACGAGAGATTCAACCAAACTATGCAACCGTTCTTGACCTCAAGGAATGCCTTCATACCCAAAGAGAGCTATAGGTGGTGGCTGGTGAGTAGGTCAGCATGTTGGTTTATGCAGGGACCCTGAACCTCTTTCAGCTCCAGGGCTGAATTTAATTTTGGAGAAGCTCTTGAGGGACCATTCCAGTGGTGGGCGGGACTAAAGACAAAGGCGATGGGACCAAAATACAAGCAATGCCTGTTTTAGCTTCAAGTCTTACTGTCAATAGGAGAGATGTTTCAACTTTTTGGAATGGTGATGGCGGAAGGGGGGAAACCTGCAGAACCTGGGAAATCGCAACATGATGGGTGCTTGGGAAGAAAAGGACGTGTCCAGGAAGGGGGTTTAGCTTTGAGGGAGTCACAGGGGACTGAACCTTGACCACGGGGAGTCTTTGACCTGGATCTTGACCACGGGGAGCTTCGAGGGAGCCAGGGGGAACTGGATCTTGACCAGATCAAGCCATTTTGGTCTCCATTCCTGTGGCAAGCTCCCTTGGGGAATTTCCTGTGTGCAGTTTTTCAGTTGTTCCAAATGTCCTCTATCCTGGCAGCAAAAAGTCTGTCAATCCCCTAGAAGAATCAGCACTGTTAAAGGCAGTAACCGGATTTTTACTGCCTCTGATTCGACTTGCCTCTGACTCATTTCCAATTTCAAATTATACTTGGGCATGGGGGGCGGGGGAGAATCCAACTGCCAAAAGAACTTTTCTCGTTAATGCATGTTCAGATCTGCTAGTAAGGAAAGGAACAGGAGACAGACAGACAAATCACCCGCATGGCCTGGCATTGCAAGTCTGGGTAGAAGCATTTTATCTTGCCTTATTTTGTAATTTTATGGTACTTCTTTGTACTGTAAATTTCCTCCACGAAAATGGGCAGTCACGTTGGTATCCTTCAAGGCCGTGGCACTTTTAGCTGCCATGCTCTTGTCCACTAGTTAAAGGACTAGCATTATGATAGCTCCTGTGTCCAGGTGGGAAGGACCCCGTCTCAAGGATTGGGGCCACACAGGGTCAAAGCATTGTGGCCTCAGGTATTGGCCCCATTCCAACCGAGTCCTGAAGCAGCACCATGGGGACAGGTGGCAGTCATTCATTTATGCAAGAAAACGCTAAGGGAGACACCACTGGTACCCAGAGAGCATTACTTACCATTTCCCTTCTCTGCTCTGACCCATGGGTGGGTCTCATTGGGAAGCTCTGATGTGGGCCCTGCCCTAGAGCCTAGCCTATTCCTGTTTAAGAGCTGAGCCTGGGCCAGTGGTCAGTATGGTGGGGCACTGGCCCCGGGCCCACCACCCAACCAGAATCCCCTGACAAGAGACCTCCTGGACTTCTTCCTGCTCATCGACTTGGCTTCCTGCTTGTTCACTTACCTTTTGCTCAGCCTAGTCTCTGGTGGCAGAGCGAAGGAAAAACAGAACGTTCTGGTAAGAAATGGCTTCTTCACGGGTTCTCTGCTGAGCCGGCAAGCAACGGGTAGCAACTGTGGGGCATTGCGAGAGCAGCTGATGAGAGAGTTGAGAAGGTGGCATCAAGGAGGGAGGGTGTACTTCCTAAGGGACTCCCAAATCCCAAAGCCAGCACTGTTCTAGAGAATCTTATAGCCAACCCTTTTGCATTTCTGAATGCACCACTTCCTGTGTTGCTCTTCACAGAAACTACAGGGAGAAAGAAGCCCCAAGGGTATTAATGAGACCATCCAGGAGCTGTTTGAGGTCATTCCTGGAGATGGAGACCATTTATTGGAGCGAAGCAGTTCACGATGCAGGAGGTGTGCCGTGGTGGGGAATTCGGGTAACCTTAAACAGTCGCAGTATGGCCAAGAGATCGACAACCATGACCTTGTGTTCAGGTGAGGAGTCCCAAGGCATGGGGTTCTTCAGCCCGGCCTCTCTGTCACTGAAAGCAGAAATCTGTGGAGTCAACGATAACCGTAACTGAGCTGAGCTGTGGCCCCACTTAAAATTTTCTGCAACTGAATGGAGGGGTGGACTCTATTCCAGATGGCAGCATCTTCTGTATGTAATCCTCTGACCTATTTCCATGAGTTACCAGAAATGCAAAATCCATGGAAGAGCAAAAGACTGAATAGGGGATGCAGGGCTGGCATGAAGGTACACACTTGCTGGGGTCCCGCGGCCCATCAGGTGCCCACGTACAGGAGCCCCCTGCTCTTCCTCTTCATCGCTGCGACATATCCATTCCCCAGGCTCAGCCTACTGTGGTGATGAGCAGGAAGAGCAGTAGATGTGTCTGCCTACTGGCTGATTGGCTGCCTTTGCCTGTCAATCAAGCAAAAGGTGGTCATGGTAAGAAAGAAGATGAGGAGCAAAACCAGCTGGTAACAACAGTGACGTGATGTTAGGCTCAGCCCATGGAGGATACCTTGCCCAGGGACCTTCAAAACTTGGAACTGGCACTGCTCCATGGCAACTCCCAGCTTTACGATCCAGTTCACCTGCTTCTCACTCTGGCCTAGAGAGCAATTGAGCTGGGAGGGGACAGAATTAGATGCCCCTGGTCCTCTCCTTTTCACAAAAAACTGTGCAGGCTTTGAAGATCCCCATATCACGTCATCAGAGAAGATGTTCCAAAGTGCAAGTGGGAGGAGAGAGTGGAAAAAGCCAGCTTCATGGAGAAGACCTTGCACCTGCGTGATTGCAGGATGGAATGCTTTCGGTGGTTTGGCCGCTCTGAATTTGTGTTTGATTAGGGTTGCGAGCCACCCTGGGAACTTTTCAGGGAGATTTCAACTGATTACTTGAAATCATTCAATTTTGCTCATGCCCGTTCATGTTTAAAGCAGGTCCTACTAATGTTTGGGAACCTAAAAGTGGGATACCTTTTAGCCTAATCCAATCAATCTTGAGTTGACTTTTATATTGTGGAACCAGCTCGGTCACTTTAGAAGCTCTTCCCTACCCCATAAACATGACCAGATGTGGCTAAACAATGTTTAACGTTTAACTTGAGGGACAAACATGCAAAGTTTGCTTGATCAAATATGGGTTGTATTTGCTCTAAAAAAAAAAAAGGAGAAAAGGAAGCACTCAGTGACAAGCTGTTCAAGCAACTTTGGGTGGAAGTTCCCATACCTGGCTTTTAATACTCATGATATACAAATATGTGGCAAAATGATTCACCCTCCAGATCTACCTTCCACATAAGTCTTGACTGATTTCTTCTCCATGTCTCCACCCTGCCCATCTTTGTGACTGAAGGATGAACAGAGCCCCAACAGCTGGCTTTGAGTCGGATGTTGGCAGCAAAACCACACACCACTTTGTCTACCCAGAAAGCTACAGAGAGCTGCAAGAGAATGTCAGCATGATCCTCATCCCATTCAAGATCTTGGACTTGCGTTGGGTGGTCAGTGCCCTCACCAATGGTACCATCAACCGGTAAGTCTATCTGAGTAGTCAGCAAATTCAGTACTTTGCTTCATGTTAACGGTTTTGTGTAGGAAGCTCCCTGCAAGATTCTGTTTACCATTCTGTTTGCAGTCGCATAAATTTGTCCCGATGGCTCAGATCAAAAGCCCATCTCAGGGCTTTTCTACCATTACCCTCTGTGGTTTCAACACAGAATTGAGAACCAATTTTTTCTTTTCCTGCTTTTCCAGTACATAACCTCTAGATGGCACTGTGCTATAGCAGGGTAGCACAATCACAAAAGGAAGGTGATGCAGTTTGTTTGTTTTTTAAAATAATACCACGATTAACCCACTCTGAAAAACAAACCAGACAGAGAAGGTGCTCCTAACAAAACAAGGGTCACAAAACAGATCCTATAAACAAACCATGAGTGAACCATAAAAGCCTTGTGTAGAAAACCTTTCAGTCCTGCATCATCTTTCCCAAAGTGGCTGAGCAGATGCTGTAGGAAGTACAGCAGCAGGACATGAAGACAAGGGGCACATGATGTTCTCCTCATCCCCAACTGGCATTCAGTGCCTCTGAACATGGAGGTTCTATTTAGCAGCTAATATAGCTATCTGTTATTAATAGCCCAAACTCCACTAATTTGTCTAATCACACCTTGGGGCAGCAAACTCCCTTGAGTCACTCTGTAGAGGGAGTGCTGGTATTTGCCATCAGAGACAAACCTCTGGAAATGGGAGTTTGCCACAAGACCAGAGATCACCTCCCACAATAAAAGTGCTGTACTCTGATCATCTTGCACTGACACAACTGTGTCAGAAGGGAAAATGATGAACTGGGTGATTCATACTCACTGTGTGAGCAAATGCACTAGGAGTGCAAGAGCTGAGCAGGGCTGCCTGCCCCAGGGTGTTTGGAAAGGCATTCATTCATCGGGTTGCCAGAGGTCAGAGATGAGATGATGGCATGTAAGAACAGCAACAATAGGTGGTATTGTGGAAGCCGGTACTTCTCGGGCAGTAACAGCACTGACGCAGCTTTTGCTTCCCCATGCAGCCCAACCTGTTTGAAAAGCTTTACCCACCTTTCCTCAGTGTGCCACATGCAACCAGTGACATTAGTATTCAGGGAAATCAAAATCCCCCTGCCTGCTTTTGAGTAAAGACAGAGTGGCCTTCGAGAGCAAAATCTGGAATTCATTTGGTGCAGACCTGTATTCAAACACAGGACGCTCTTCCTGCAATGTTAAGTGGTGCAGTCCATCTGTTGTTGTTGCTGTTGTTGCTAGTCGCGAAGTCGTGTCCAACCCATCGCGACCCCATGGACAACATTCCTCCAGGCCTTCCTGTCCTCCACCATCTCCCGGAGTCCACTCAAGCTCACGTCAACTGCTTCAGTGACTCCATCCAGCCACCCCATCCTCCACCGTCCCCTTCTTCTTTTGCCATCAGTTGTTCCCAGCATCAGGCTCTTCTCTAGGGAGTCCTTCCTTCTCATTAGGTGGCCAATGTATTTGAGTTTCATCTTCAGCATCTGGCCTTCTAAAGAGCAGTCAGGGTTGATCTCCTCTAGGACTGACCGGTTTGATCGCCTTGCTGTCCAAGGGACTCGCAGGAGTCTCTTCTAGCACCACAATTCAAAGGCCTTAATCCTTTGGCGCTCAGCCCTCCGTATGGTCCAGCTTTCACAGCCATACATTGCAACTGGGAAAACCATAGCCTTGACTATACGCACTTTTGTCGGCAGGGTGATGTCTCTGCTTTTTAGCATGCTTTCTGGATTTGCCATAGCTTTCCTCCCCAGGAGCAAGCGTCTTTTAATTTCTTGGCTGCAGTCCCCGTCTGCGGTGATCTTGGAGCCCAGGAAAATAAAATCTGTCACTACCTCCATTTCTTCCCCATCTATTTGCCAGGAAGTGATAGGACCGGATGCCATGATCTTAGTTTTCTTAATGTTGAGTTTCAAGCCAACTTTTGCGCTCTCCTCCTTCACCCGCACTGTGACCAATTGCAGTCCAAGGGACTGCAAGACGATCCATCTGCTATTAGTCTATCTCCTGTCTGGATGGACTATTAGACTATCTGCTAAGAGTCCATCTGCTGTTCCAGGTCTGTTCCTCCTCATTGCCTTTCACCTTGCTGTGTGTGACAGCCAGCCCAAGATGTCCTGATTCTCACTTCCTTCCTTGCTCACCCATCATGCAGGCACACCACCACACACAGAGAGACACCCCTTCCCCATAACGCCAAAAAATATTGAAAACACGGCAGGGGCAACATGAAGCTCTTTCCACACATTTGCCCATCCGAGGATCTTCTCCTTTTGGTAGACCGCTCATGCCAATACGTTGGCATCTGTGTGTGTGTGTGTGTACTTGTACGTTAAAGTGTTGTGATGACTAGTCCTCAGGCTATAGGTCCAAGGTGGAGGGTTTGCCTCCTTTGAGGAAAATGAAGAAAAATCACGAGACTCAACACTGTTTGCAGGCGTGCCCACATCACGTCTGAACGATGCTGAGCTAGCAACCCCATGGAGTGGGCGCAGACATTCCCTCCAGGGTTTCCCTTCGGTTCCCCTTGGCTCCACACCATTCAGGGCAGTGGCCTTTCAGCTTCAGGAAATCCCATCACAAACCCTCCAGTCCTTGACATCCCAGAGAAGTTGAGCTAGGAACTTCATAACTGGTGTCTCTTCTGGGGTGCTCCTCAAGGCTGCAGAGCGAAGGGGCACGGAGGAGGTATGATCCTCTTATGAACCGGCCTAGCCTTTGCATTCCAGCCAGCCTGGAACAACCCCAAGGATCACAACGAAGTAGCAGCTTCCAAGGAGAAGCATCCATCCATCTGGTTGGACCCCTTGGTTCTTTGGCCGCTTTGGTTCTGTGTATCGGTTGCTAGCTAACAGCAACTGTGGTCTGGGTTAAGTGACCACAGCAATGTGCAGTTGTTCATCAGTGAAGTTTTCCCAGCCTGTTGCCCTGCAAATGTGTTAGGCCACAACTCTGATCATCCTGCAGCCGGTGGCTATGGTGGCTGGGGATAATGGGAGCTGTAATGTGCCATGCCTGGAGGACACCAGGTTGGAGATGTCTGCATGATTGCATTGCTTCACAGGGACGCTTTCTATCTCAGCTGGGGCTGAAAATCAAATTCTGCCAGGCTTGTAGCTGTGCCTCTGTGTCTCGTTGCTAGGGAGGTTTGTTTGCTTGCTTTTTAGATTTATAGGCCTCCTTTTTTCTTTCTTGGAGAACTGAGAGCTGCTCACACCATTCTGCCCTTGCTGCTTTCCATCCTAGCTGCACAAAACCACCCTGTGAGGCAGTTGGGCTGAGAGGCTGTGACTGGCCCCATGGCTGAGTGGGGACTGGAACCCAGGTCACCCGAGTGCCAGTCCTGTGCCCTCAACTGCTATACCACACAAGTTGGCGAAGGCTGTGACAGGCTCAGATGAGATGGGATCAGACCTGCAAATTCTGTGGCAGGCAAATTTGTCCCAGGTTGCACAGATTCTGTGGACTTGCTGACCAGCTTGTTACTTTGGGATGGGGACTGGTGTAGCGGCACACTGAGCACTAATGCAAATGAACACAGGTATGTGTCTGTACACGTGTATGAACAAACCAAATTCTTGTGCAAACACTCCAGTTCTTCAGTGACCAGAGAAAAGATGCCCGACATTCTGCGAAACTCATGCAGAGTAGATTGACCAGGCTCCATGCATCCCAACCATTGCTGGGAGCACCTTCTTTCCACCACTTCATGCAAACAACTTACCAATTGCTGGTTCTGTATCGTTTTGGGAGGCACATGGCCCAAATTATAGGCCTTGTGCATGTATTTTTAATCCCTGGTGGGAATGTGAGGGCTTATTTATTTATTTTTCGATTTATATCCTGCCTTTTTCCTACCAAGGGCTCAAGGCAGCTTCCATCATTCTCCTCCTCCATCTTCTCCCCACAACAACACCCCTGTGAGGTAGGTTGGGCTGAGAGTCTGTGACTGGCCCAGAGTCACCCAGCTGGCTCCATGGCCGAGCGGGGACTTGAACCCAGATCCTCTGAGTCCCAGTCCCAGGCTCTTCACCACTGCGCCACACTGGCTCTCTCTTATCTCTCATCAATGGTAAAAGAATCAGCAACCAGGCATGGAATGCCGAAGGCTGCTGCGTCAGAACTGTTGCTATTGAAAAACTCTGTCCATGAACAGGAAGGGGCAGGATACCACGTCATTTATCAGATGGAGAGGGAAGGGAGAGGGGAAAATGTGACAGCTTCTAGTAGCATGAATCACTTGAGTTATAAAGTTTAGATAAACAGGACCTGGAGAGGGAAGGGTGTGGAATATCCCCACTTCCCTCTGTTCTTAAGTGATGATGAAGTATGACTAACAGGGAAGGGTGACTACCTTGCTCGTCTCTGTAATACCATTGGTATTACCCAGTAGAAAACGCTGATGCTGACACACTGCACACTGTCCTCATAGGTGCATTTTTGGAAGCATGCGTGTGTGGGCAGAAACAGCCCTTATTTCTGAACAGCAAAATATTACCCTTTGGAAAAATTAGATTTGTTGTTAATGCTGTTATGTGCCGTCAAGTAGTCTCTGACTTATGGTGACCCCATGAATGAAAATGTCTTGTCCACAGCAGCTCTGCTCTGCTCTTCTAGATTCATGGCTGTGAATCTTAGAATCTGCTAACCCTAATGCAGATAGAAGGCGGAATAATTCTTCACATAGCATGTATTTAAACTATGGAATTTGCTGGCACAGGAAGTAGTGATGGCTGCCAATCTGAATGCCTTTACAAAGGGATTGGACAGATTCATGGAGGAGGCGGCTATCAGTGGCCACCAGCCTTGCCGGCTCTGTGCTTCCTCCTTGACCTGAGGATCTTGGGCAGGATGAGGTTTTGCACTGCTCCTGCTTGAGGGACCCTTTGGGCAGTTGGTTTGTCATCATGTGTTTGGAGTGCTCAACTGGATGGACCTTTGGCCGAATCCAGCAGGGCTTTGCTTACATTTTTCAGTTCCATGAGAGTGTCCATCACAACAGGAGAGGAGCAAATGTGTGTTGGTTGTGCATTTGTTATTTCCTAGGATTCTCCGCCATCGTTTTGGGAAGTCCTCCCAAAGAATTCCTCATGTCATGATTAAAAGTCCATAGGACTGAAATTTTATCCGTTACTATTACAAAAATTAAACAGCAATCTTAAGACATGCTGCAAACAAGCATGGCAAGTCAGATAGGCCAGTTTAAACTAGATGTAGCAAACGTTTAAACAAGTAAAACACCCAGCCCTGCAAATCAAAAGCGATTTGGGTGGACTCACAAGATTGGGTGGACTGTTCTTCACTTGAGACCAGGTGGTGGCAGGACTATGGATCAAACTAGAGCAGAGGTGGACAGCTTGCAGCCCTTCAGGTGCTTTGGCCTACCATTCCCATCATGGCTCACCATTGGCTATGTAGGCCAAGGACTAAGGAGGTGCGAGCCAGAGTCCGTCAGATTCCCTGGGCTCATCTCCGCGGGTTCCCGTCTGCCTTGCCCAGGGTCCAAGTTCCTGGTGAACACTCCCAGAGTTCCTAGGGTGCTTGCCTTCAATCTCTCCTGCGGTATTCAGTCGGATGAATAGGAAACGTGCCATTAGGATATGAAGTCAATACTTGTGGTGTGCTTCCTTTGAATCTTCCATTTTGAGCCATCAAGGCTAACCATTACAGCTAGAGGCCCAAGAATATATCTCAGGGTCTTTACAGAGGCATCAGTGCCAATAGCTGTGACCCCATCTTGTGGGATCTTAAGAGCCTCCTAATATAACCCAGAACTAAGGTTCTGAACTGATAAAGCCCAACAAAAAAAGAAATTCCCACCACAAAGGTGAACAGCCTTCTCTTACGTGTTGGCCTGGCAGGACAATTCTACTAATAGCCACTGTTAGCGCTCTTCCCCATAAATTTGTCCTGTCACCACTGTCCAGAGAGCCAGTGAGTACCAGACGTTTGGGTTGTGTGAAGAAATGCTTCTTGGTCTTTGTTTGGAAATTACACTGCCAACCAGTGAATGTTCCTCCGTGCCAAGGGGCCAGGATGGTACATTCCCTCACACACGGCGGAGAAGACAATATGAACTGGAGCACAGTGCATTCTCCAAGCCTGAGGTCACTGGATGCAAGGGGTGTATCACAAGCACTAGCAGAACGAAGTGGAGTTGCTCATGTTCCAGAAATGGAAGCAACTGGAAAGAGAACCAGGAAATCCTGGGCAGGACCTTTCCAGGAGGAATCGGCTCAGCCGGCATGTCCAGCTCTCAGGGACAGTTGCTGGAGCTCACGACCCCATTTGAGCCTTAATGTCTGCAAGGGTTTGATCTTCACAGAGCAGTGGCAGATTCTTTTCCCAGTTAATACTAAACAGGACCAGGAATGGGAGTAGAACACGGTTCTAAATATGTAATTTACACAATTAGTACAGAAATAGGAATGGATGCATACACTTGTGATTAGAAGATGATGATTTCTGCCACTTGTTTTGTCTTCTGGGCATGGGGAGGAAAGGGTTAACTTTCTTCCCTCTGATCTGCCTGCCTGTAAAAGCCATTGAAAAGCAAAGCAATGTGAACAAATGTAAGCCATAGGTTGGAGCAAAGGCTAAAGAATTAAAGCAGCTTAAAGTGTAACAGAATCAAAGTGGAGTTTTTGGACAGAGTAAATGAAAACCAAAGCACTCATCAAAGATTCCATGTTTAGGGATTTTATTTAGGAATTGGGGAAAAAAAGACCTGATTTTCATGAGCTTCTCTGATAGAGTTTAAGAAGGGATTAGTCTCCCCTTTGTGGAGAAATGAATTGTAGCAGTGGATTGATCCAAATCAGGATGTCACAGATGTTTCTACGGCAGCTGCTTTACATGCCTGATAAAATGAGCTGCAGGATGGATGCTGCCTAAACCTTCCAGTGGCTTTTTCTAGGCATAAACGTCTTTTTCTTGCTCAGGAGCAAGGTCCTAAAGCAGGAGTAGACCTCACATGACCTGCGGGCAAGCTGGAAATCGCTTTCACTCGTCCCAACATTCCCATCCTTTTCTATAGATTTCTATAGATTTCCTTTTCTATAGATTTTGACTCCACAATAGCTCAGTCAGCTCTGCCTCTGTGCATCTGAAGTCCTGTCCGCTTTCCCTGTGGCTGTATTCCTCTCCCAAAATGGACTAAAATTTGCAAATTTGCAAGTTCTGCATTTTAGCTTGCTGTCTCATTCACAAATAGCATTATCACAACTCTCCCGGATTTGGAATTAAGGGCTGTTATTATCGCGATTACATTTGTTGTTTATTTGGTACATAGGGAGTATTGACTTTTAGTGACTCAGCCCACTGTCCTTCTTTAACAGCACGTATGTTCCAGTTGTGCGTAAAATCAAAGCCAACAAGGACAAGGTGAGTTAATGCTGACGGCATTCTTTTGCACGCACGCTCCCCCGCTCCCCCCTCCTCTCATGGGTGAGGCTTAATTCGGTATTTCCGGTTTTGCTCAACTCACATGATGGGACATCCAGTCCAGTAAATTATCATTTGTGTGATCGCTGTAAAACAATACTGCAAACCAGGATTTCATCCCAGATCGCTATCTTGTATGTTTGCATAGGAAGACATGGTTAGGGAGAAATTCTTTGGCCCCTAGACATTGGCTGTGATCATACAACAAAGCACACAATTCTGCGTAGTTACCATGGTTCACAGTTGTTCACCATGATGTGGTGATCAAGTGGATTCCATTTTATCGTGGTTTCCATCCTCATCACTCAGTCCTCCCACCATTGGCATGTATCCCATCTGCCACTGTGCCTGAAATCCCATCCCAAGGTGCATCACTCCATGCCTGTGTTGTCTGCCTTTGTCATTGGTCCACATACAAAGGCCGGATGCCTGAAGTGGCTTGCGCAGTTTTCACTCTTTCTGGTAGTAACATACCAAGACTGTGAAAATCACAATCCTGGGTTCAGACAACACAACAAACCATGGTAAGAGAAGTGTTGTCTCTTGCCATGGTTTCTAAAGATCAAGCTTACCGTGGTGAAATGCTGGGTAAAAAAAGCCACCATGGCTTGTTGTGTTGTCTGAACCCAGTCAGTGTCTGAGGAGCTATCAATAATTTGGATTTCCACATCTGAAGTTCGAGACACGGCTCTGACCTTGGAGCTAGAAACTGAAGATCCAACCCACTAGCAGCCTGCACAGAAAAACCTGCATAAAGTACCTCTCCAAGGTAGCAAACACAACCTTGGAGAAAGGGAAACAGGGCATTTTGGTGGACAAGGAGGGGAAATGATGGGAGAGACCAGGATGCAGGTTATCCTGGTGGTTCTCCAGCCTCCTTCCCCCGCCCCCTCCAAATTGCTTTAGCTAAACATGCTGAAAACAGGCATGGGAGGGGGATGAGGAGGAGATCACCTACACAGCACCCTTGGCTCTGCATAGAATGATCAGAATGCATGAGGGCTCAGAGGCATCATGGCAGGAACGCTTCCTTGGGCGGGTTCCTGCACGATTCCTGCATGCAGACCGTAACTCCATGCATGGTGGGTGGGAGGTGTCCTGCTACCTGAAGGCAGAGAGCCACGTGCAGCCATTCCAAGTAGCTTTCCGGGGGCTGCCATGTCCTGAATTCTGGTATGAACATCTGCACGTCACCCAGAAGTGATGCCTTCTGGTCCAGTTTTCCTGTACCAAGTGAAGTGGCATCCTTAAATTGCATCTGTCATGAAATCTGTAAGACTTTGAGACATTCTCACCAAAAAGGGTGTCAGGCTTTTTTTCCCAGTGAGCGCTCAAAGCAGGCCAAACGAGAATCAGACAGGAATGTGTTTTGGGGCTGGATCATGCGCGCGATTCATCCCAGAGCCAGAATGGCTTGCAGCTTCCTCTTGAAGTGCTGGCAGGGTTGTAAATGCAAGTGGGCTGCCTTGTCATGTATAGAATGGCAAGAGGGATCCATTATTTTGTTCGCACACCTGAGACAAAGCTTTATCCAAACGGCCCACAGCAGAGGCCTCGCTCAAGCTAGCAATGCAGTTTTCAACCTATCCGAGGTGTTGTGGCGCCACCTATGGAGAACAACGAGAACTGCACTTGTGCCATGCTAATGTTCCCGCAAAGCAATGCCCTGGTTTCCCCTTCCTCCCCGGGGTCAGGTGAGGAGATGCAGGACTTCAGTGAGTTCAGACTTAGGGATGTTTACCCATTTCAAATGTCTGTTGGGTGCATTCTTTCGTTTTGTTGTTAGTAACTGTGGTGAAACTAACCAGCCATGTTGTTTCCTTCCATGCAGATCTTGGTTTATCACCCCCACTTTATCAAATATGTTTATGACAACTGGCTGCAACATCATGGGAGATACCCCTCAACGGGTTTCCTATCCATTATATTTTCCCTTCACATTTGTGATGAGGTGAGTACAACAGATGAAGTAGGAAGCTGCTACATGAATGATCCTGGATGAACTTTGGGTTCACACACACCTCTCTCCCTTAGGGGTTTGCAAACTACCACAGTCAGTTTTAAACTGAGCACAGATCCTCATGATATCCAGATATCATAAAGATCATAGACCTTTAGCACCTAGGTCATAAGAAGTAATGCTTCTGTTTTACTCTTCACTAGCCAGAAGTCATCTGGAGCACTGTAGCCAGTGGCGGTCAGTGCATTTACTAAGGATGCAGCCACACTGAAACATGCTTGAAGAAGGGCAGTGGATTTATGGAAATTGTCCATGAGGAAAGGTTGAAACACCTGTGGAAGGCCATCATACTCCAGAAGGTCAAAGACAGAAAAATAAAAGGAAGGCCAAACACGGGATGGATGGACTCCATCCAGGAAACCACAGTCTTGAATTTGCAAGGGCTGAGCAGGGCTATCACGGATACGACATTCTGGAGGGCTTCCACTCAGAGAGTCACCATAAGCTGGAAGCAATGTGATGGCACATAACAACAACAAATGTTTAGCCTGGAGAAGAGATGACTGACACTCTTCAGTCCCTAGAAGGTTCTTGTCATCACACAGAAGAGAGCAAAGTTTTGTTCTTTTCTTCCCCAGAGATGGGGATGAGTGAGAAATGCATTTGCTTTAGACCAGAATCCACACAGTTCATCTCTGCTGGATCTGAATGCAATCTGTGCTTTCAAGGCCATGCATTTCGTAGCCAGTGATGTTCACTTCTAGGCAAAAGGAGGCAAGAAAGGAATAGCTAAGCACAAGGTTCATGCAGGGTCATTCATGCAGTGGGAAATCACAGTTTCCTATTGCATATGAACAGAGCCTTGTTCTCACTGTGCATAATGTAAACAAAACCCGGCTCCCAAGTTAGGATATGACAGGGAACATGTGTTCCATTTAAAATTAAGTAGAAGCCTTCCGTCTCCTCCTGTAGCATGCAGAGGAGGAAGAAGAGTGCCTAGCGCTCATGCAGACTCAGCCACAGAGAGCCAGACCATGGTTCTGCATCACGCCTGAACCAGGGTCGTGAAGAAGCTCTGCGGATTCCAACCCTCCAACAATTGCAGACGTCCTCTTGTGCTAAGCCCAGTTATCCCCAAAGTGGATTCCTCCCAGATCCTAGCCGATCTCGGATGAGGGGGGCAATGTTGCCATCGTGAAACCCCTCTCTTGATCATGCAATGATCTCCCCCTTGAGGTCTGCACCAATTTGGACATCTTTTCGGAGTCTGGTGAAGACTGCCTTACATACATATAGGTACATGAGGGGGTGCCACATGGAGGTGGGGAGAGACCTGTTCTCCCCTGCAGAGGAAGGCAGGACGCGCTCCAACGGAGCAAAGCTCAAGGAACCAAGGTTCAGTTTGGATGCCAGGAAGCATTTCCTGACAGTTAGGACCCCGAGGGTGTGGAATGGGCTTCCACGAGAGGTCATTGAGGCCCCATCGGTGCGGGTGTTCAAGGATAAGCTGGACGTCCACATGGTGGGCATGTTGTGAGTGGAGCCACCTGGAGCTGGGGGTCAGACTAGATGTCCCAGGAGACCCCTTCTGACTCGCTCTGTTTCTGTGTTTCTTCTCCCAGGCATGTAATGACATGATGGAGCACAGATGTCCAGTCTAGTTTGTAATGAAATTGTTGAGCTGTTCACTTGTTTTCAAATTTGTATCTTGAAAAAATGGGATATTTATTGTACCAGTGGTCTGGATTTTTATGCATTGTTACAAACCTCCTAGAGAGCTCCTGCTATTGGGCAATATGGAAATGGAATTATTATTAACCATTTTATTATTATTATTAATGTCACTGCATGCCCCAGCCACTGAGGTAGTATTGTAAGTATTCCAATGTGTTACTGAGGCTGGCAAGCCATATAATACAAGTCAATGATTTACCCTGTTGCAAAGGGGACCAAACGGCATTCTGTTTGTTGTCATGACTACCTCATTGTGTGTTGTCTGTGAAGTTGCACAGAAAGAATCGGAGTAAACAGAAGAGATGCAAGAATCAGGTTTGTACAGTTTTTTTATTCTCTCTCTCTCTCTCTAGGTGGATCTGTATGGTTTTGGAGCAGACAGTAAAGGGAACTGGCACCACTACTGGGAAAACAACCCGTCTGCTGGAGCTTTCCGGCAGACAGGTGTCCACGACGGGGATTTTGAATCCAACGTAACGTGGACTCTTTCTTCGGTTGACAAATTACGCATTTTCAAGGGCAGATGACCCTGGTTGCAGGGTGTTCTGTACTCCAACTACTTGGATGGCCTATACACTTGTAAAAAATAAAGGACTTTGTGGAGCAGCCTTTATCTAGCACCTCAGCTGATGACACAACCAGCCATTGGGTTGGAATTAACAAGCACCGTTGATTGGCACTGGGTAGGTTGCTAGATATTTTTGCCCACTTTTGAAGAATGGTAAAGAATCCCTCTCCATTAGTGGTGGAACATGGGCATTTCTGCATCAGACTCTCCCGCTGTAAGATGTCTCAGTCCTGCAATCTGGGCTCATGCTTGTCAAAAGGAAAGAAGGCAGCTTGTTATGCTGGTAAGGATAATGGACAACATAACTGATCTCTTTTCCGAGGCAACAGTGCAGCAGAAGAGATACGAAAACAACCAACCCCAGTTTGCACACATTCGTGGATGTGAAACACCCTCTTCATGCAAGATTACCTCATGAGAGCTGTTCCATCCTCAGTCTTTTCAGTGAAACATCCTCACTGGTCTTCTGACCCTCGGCTGCTGCCATGAACAAGTGTGAATTTGTCTCCAGTGGTCAAAACTGGCACCAGCTTGCGTTTGCCAGTGTCTGGAAAAATTGAATGAAACAGTTCCATTTTCCAGATATTATTCTAATTATTGTGTGAAGCATATTATTGTTCCTCATAGCCATAAAGGGAGGTGGGGTTGTAAATGAAGTAGTCACTATTGTTTACCTTTCAAAAATGTTCTGAGTGTTACCCAGCTCAGAAGTCTGCCCTAAAGCAGAAATTTTGCCTGGAGCTATTTTTATATCTATATCTATATATCTGTCATAGACACGTGCCTTTCTAAGATAGAGGGAATGTAAAAGAGGGTTTGGCTATTGGGCTCCCTCAAAGCCCAGCACCCTCAGTTAAACTTTTTATGTGAAATTAACTGACCAAAGTTTGAGCCTTCTCACAAGATCATTTTGTATTGACAGCTTTCTTCAGTCTACTTGAAACGTTTGTCACAACTGTCTTTTCTTTTTCCTTCTGGGAGAGCTAAACATCTTTGCCTTATTTTAAAGAACTTTTTTTTAAGATTAGAACAAAAGATTTTGCTTCTCTTTTTATAACATTAGTATATAATTCCCACAGATAAGTTAATGGAGTGGAAGAAAATGGCCTCCAAGGTGTGGAAATGGTTCACGGACTGTGTCTAAAGCTGTTGTGTTCAAGGTGGAGATCCATACCAAGGGGATAGGGCTTCCCTGAGAGAAGGTTCCATTGAACTCAGTGGGGCTTACTTCAGTGTAGACATATATATGATTGCACTCTTGGTGACCTTATAAAGAGCAAGAAGAAGAAATGATGGTCAATGGCCAACAAGATTTAGCTGCACTAGGTGACTATTCAACAGAAGGCTAGAACATTCTAGAAAACACTTATCTTGAGGAGGATAAAAATGGCAGAAAAGGTAGTACCACAGGAATTGATCACAATGGTGTGAGGAAGAGAGAAGTGTAACTTCTTCAGAAAAATGGAGATGGATCCAACCACCCTAAAGTTACCTCATAGATGCTGACTAACAGTTTTTCTGACATGCCAGGGGAGAATGTGTGTCCAGAAGGCTGAGACTGCTCTTCTAAAAATAGGGATGTGGAGAAACATACTATTTGCATTTGAATGCAGATTTACTTAATTTTACCCTTTCAGACTATTGTGCCCACCAAAACCTCACCATCCTTCAAAATTTGTATTTATCTGAATTTTGCAATGGAGTTTGCCAGTCAAAACTTATATACAGAAATGCAAATGCTATGAAAGATCATGTTAAAATATTTTATCTTTGGAAAAGGTTGCCCAAAAATGTATGTATTAGGAGAAATGTGTACAAAATGGTTTACAAATATTTGTGACAAACTTACAAAAAAACCAAACCAACCATATTATCCAAGTATGGATTAAGCCAAACTTAAGACTGGAGCAATTTTCAATTAAAGCAAACCAAAATGGTTAAGATTAGAAAAAGGAGAAGCTAACAAAACCCAGAAATGAATATTCATCCACCCATCCCTATTTTTAATAATATATAAAGCACCTGTTATTATAAAATTAAAGCTATATCTTCCTGGAAGATGTCTTTGAAAGATTTCTTTCAATAATTGTTGTTGTGTCCTGGAGTCAAGCTACATGATATGCTGAATGCCATTGTTTTTGGAAAACGGCTTCACCTGGCCAAGCTATAGCAGGAAATGGATGTGGAACAGCCGTCCAGAGGACGAACATGTTCTGGATTGTGGCACTGTGGTTGTTTTGTCTCTTGTCCAAAACAGAAGTGGCCAGTTGGAGCCCAGCTTCACTGAAAGATCTGTATTATGAGTGGGTGAACTCTTCATAGGCTTAATATTTAAAAAAAAACCTCTTTAAATCAGTGCTGCAAAAATATTTTATTGGTCCCAACCATAGCTACACTATGCGTAAGATGCACTGAAAACAACAGGATTTGAATTTAAATCTCTTTGAGGAAAATCCAACATAAATCCTTCTTAGACCCATCAGAATGAATGGAGCTTAAGTTAGCCATGATTAACAAAGTCATGTTCTTTTTAATGGTTCTACTCTAAGTATATGTGGAATTTGTGTGGAATTTTACCCATTGGTTTCAGTGGGTTTGTTTAAGTCTGGCTAAGTCTGGATCTAACCACTGACTACTCCTGGCTTGTTTAAATTCTGAGGCAAGAGTCTCCAACTACTGAATAGCTGGGCCTTGAACAGCAACTTGATCTGTAAACATGAGCATGTGATTATACCTTCTATTTTTGGGGCTGCCAAGCAGAAATCCAACGGGAGGAGTTTCCCCTAGCTTGTAGTACCTGGGAGCAGCTTCCCTACATGCATTCTTAAATAAAAAATTTCAACCTAAAAAAAAAATTCAACCTACATGCATTCTTCCCGCCTTGACACAAAATGCCTATTACTGGCGACACCCTTGCCCATTCCCCCTTCCCGCAGGTTTCCATGTGTGGAGTTTGGCACCTGTTCTCAAGTTAGCCATTTCTTTGATTTTCTCTGTGTTGTGCTGGTTTGGGGTCTGCGGTATCGTTTGCTTAAAAATAAGAGAGAAGGCTCTGAAAAACTTGTCAGCAATTAGATCTCAAAGTAGGAGCCCTCTTTCTTTGAATGCTTGACCACTCCGTGCGGCTTGCATCCTGGCAGAGGGAGGTACATTTTGTTCCTTGGCTGAATAAACCCCTCAGACCACTTTCTCTTTTACCTCTAAATGGTGAGGCCCGTGTTCCCCATGCTCCTGGGACTGATGATGTCCTAAAACCAGGGATTTGTGTCCCTTGCCAGTCCCATGTCCCATCTTGGTCTGCTGCAGGATCCTAGGCTAGCAGTCATTCCTGCAATGCCAGGAAGTTGATACTGTTTTTGTTATGTACTGTCAAGGCACCCCAACTTGTGGTGATCCTGTGAATGAAACTCCCCCAAAATGCTCCATCTTCTTTTGGGTCCTCCATCTCTTCTTATGCCTTTGGCTTTCCCTAGCAGTCAATAGGGGCCCAGTTAACACTGCTTCCAGGGGCTCCATCTGCCCCTTCACCCAGGCCAGGATGGGGCAGAACCTCTCTGCTGGGGGTGCCTTTCCAGAACCTGGGGCACAAGCAAGACAGGGCTTCCTCAGAACCATAGTGCTGGATGGGGGTTTGGCCATTGCTTCCAGCCCTCTTCACAGTGCAGGAAACCTGTTTCCAGCATCCTTGACAGAGAATAGTCCATGGCTTGCTTTGCTGTCTGGCTGAGCACTAGGAAGCTTTTCTTGATGTTCAGCCGGTCCTCTTCTGTGGCACAGCAGTGGGGAGTCCCGGGGGGAAGTGTTAACGGTTGCCATCTTCTCCTTGTCAGCTGCCTGAGACTTTTTATCTGCAATCCTTACCAAGTGGCAACTGGAGGGTTTTTTTTAATGTACCAGAAGTATCTAGGAAGGATCCATTAGCCTGTAATTTAATAGTTGACACATTTCCTGTTTTGTTGGAAGTAGTAAATAATTTTGCTAATGATCTGGGGAGAGGGAGAAGATGCTAAGCTTGAGACTACCGAATGAAGACAGATTTTTAAACACCATTTTCTTCTGACAAAGGAATCACTTTTCCAAAGCTGTTATTTTCCTTGAAAGGCAAATGACAGCTGCTGTTGGGAGGAGCCATAGGGCACCTTGAACTGAAAGTATAAAAACACCCAGAAAGGTTAAATATAACATATATTTTGGCCCTTCTCTGGTTTCTTGCTGCCCATGCAAGTATTAAAGATGCAAGTGTACCAGGCACTTGGAAACACAAAGCAACAACAATCAATCTTTATAGCCAGTGGGATTTTTATTTTCTTTTTCCAAAGAATGGCTCCTCTCACCACGCATACCACACATGAAGGTACTGTTTGAATTATCCTGACTGTGCAAAGTATCTCAGCAGCCTCAGTTGGAGGCTAGTGTTGCCACCTTTTAAATTAGCCCTGCTCTTCTGCCTTGTAGCAGCAGCTCTGGATACAGAAATAGACCAGGTGACAATTTTCCTGAGAAGCAAATGAAGTGATGGGGGAGCGTCATCAGCTAAATTTCTGGTGTTGCTGTGAAAGGGACTGAAGAAAGGCCAACGGTTTGGGGGTTTTTTTGCTTGTTTTATGTGGCAACTCTAAAAGCCATATCCATTGCGACCTTAGGATTGCTTTTTAGTTGGTTCTGGAGCAAACGGAGTCAGAAGAAGGCTCTTGGTAAACTTAGGGCGCCAATTGCCAGGTGCAAAATGAGGATCCTTCCAGAACAGGGTTAATATGAAAGAAAAGCATTGGGACCAGGGACACACGAATCCATCTAGCTTTCTTCCTGCTGTGCACACAGATGGAGTCACCATCTTTTCCCCCTGCCCATGCTCTGCTGCTGTTAAAAGCTAAAGCAGATGCTTCTCTCCATGCCACCAAATGCTTCTGCAGAACAAGTAGCTGTTCAAGGTCGAAGAGCGGGCCTAGGTAGTTTTCTGTGCAACTGGCAACCACAATCACAGAGAAGAGAGCCTCCAGTTCGAACCGTGCCAGCTTCTTTCCCTGGAGGCTTACCCCCGTAGCTCAATGGAAGAGCACTGTCTTTGCATGTGGAAGGCTGCAAGTTCATTCCCAGGATCGCTTGCTTCAAACCCTGGGGAGCTGCCACTATTGCCGTTGAGCCAATGGGGGTGGGCTGGCACAGGGCCGACGACGTAAGCCAGAAAAACCAGTGGTTTGGTTCAATGTTGGGCAGTTTTTTCTGCTCCTAGCATTCATACCCATATTTTTGAACCAGAAGTTTAAAACCAAGCTTCTTAAACTTGGCCTGCGTTTCTTAGCAATGCAAACTGTCTTTTAAGTGTGTGTGTTTGTGTGTGTTCAGCAAAACCAAATTTATTGGTACACTTGTTTCCAAAAGAGTTGACTTCTTTTCTTCTTCTTTTCCTTTCGGTCTTATATTACTCTTTTTATAATCACTCTTTCCAAATGAAGGATCACTTGTGGGGCGTTTTGGTGACAGCTTATTTATTGCTCATATTTTCAATATGATACAAATGATTTTAAAATAAATTTTGTATTGCAATATAACTCTTCTGGGAAGCCTTTTTTAATTACACCTGCAGCCTGATTAAAGCAATTGTGCTTGAGTTCTGTGGTGGGTTAATTAATTAAATTGTCAATTCATTAGCGCTCTGCACATTTGCATATAAATGATCATGAAAGGGGGGAAAGCCCCATCTTAATTTTTGAATGATGCATACATGCAGCTGCCCTTTTAACAACAGCTTGATCTGTACTTACTCATTACCAAAAAAGAGGCAAAGGAGGACAAATATTGGCATTAAATTTACACAGATCTATTCATATGAGCAGATGTGCATTTAGAAATAATGGCTGTACTTTAAACAGAAATGCACGTCTTCTCTTGCCACTATGAGAGACCAGCAATTGCGACAAGGTGATCTGCCAGCTTGCTCAGTCTGATGCCTGGGCTCTCACACCACCCCCTCTGCTTGCCTTCCTGATGGCTGCATCTGATGGAGCAAACACAAAAGCAAATCTCCGCTGCTTCAAGTGAGGAATTCCTCCATGGGAAGCAGTGGAACAGGCTGGGAGAGCGTCAAATAAAGGCTGTCAGGGCACTGGGGCCAGGCCAGTGTGAGGGGTGGTTATTTGTTTTCTGGAGAACCCAGATAGCGGGAGATCAAACATCCCTGCAAAGTCAGTGCATTCGATGGAAGATGCCCTTCTTCCAGGTAGAACACATGGCCACCCTAATCTGCAGCAAACAGCAAATACACAACCCCTCGGAAAATTAAATGTGATGTGTATTTAGATTTAGCACATCTCTATTAAAGAGGGTAGGAGGAGGATGGTAGGGCAGGATTCCTCCCTGCCCCCCAACCACATTCAGCCCCTCCAACATTGACCATGGATTATATGCCCAGTTTCTTGGATGCTGAGTGCAAGGCTGGGTCAGACTAGCTCTGTTCTGTCTTTTGCAGGATTTTAGAATCCCACAATTCATTAAAACCACAATATACATATTATTTTCTAATTGGGGAAGGAAGGCAGCTACAAGAGTCAGTTTACATCCTGTATATGGAAGAGGGGAAAACAAGAAGCCAGAGCACATGAAGTCTGTCCCAATTCCCAAATCATGCCCTATTGTATTTATTTAAAAGATTTATGCGCTGCCATTTAGGGGAAAGGCTCCCTAGGAGGTAGAGGATGTTGAAACCACAAAATGCACTCCATTGAAAATAATGCCCTTGTAAACCTTAACAGGTTTAAGTAGATTGAAATGAGCAGTCTTCAGGGCTTGCCTGGGGGAGAAACTGCAGGCATTGGGCAGATCCAGCCCGTGCTACCTGGGGTTCATTTGGGGTATAATATGGCCCAGATTTCTAGTTTCCATAAGAAATTCAGAAGAGCCCTTTAGATCAGATCAGAGGTTTTCCCCAGTCCAGGATCCTGCGGTTCTTAAGGCAAGAGCTCTCCACTCATGTCTCCCGGGAGCGTATGACTGTGGCTATAGCTTTCCATTAGCCATTGTGCCGAATAACTTTGACAAGCAAGATCTGTAAAACAAGGGTTCACATGAGTGGGCCTGTAGCCGGGTGGGCTAGGAGAGGCTGCCCTCCCACTCAATTCTTAGCCTCCATAATGCTTTGAGAAAGCCATAACTACAGTTTACAAATTTGTCTGTCAAACCAGATGACCTCCTTTTTGGCATCCCCTTCCCTTTTTTTTTTAAACTGGGTAGCCTGACCATGAACTCTGATCTGTCCAACAGTAGCAGAAAGGTGTCCTTGGAGACAAGGGGAATAGCGGAAAGGTGTCCTTGGAGACAATGGGAATAGCGGAGAGGTGTCCTTGGAGACAAGGGGAATAGCGGAGAGGTGTCCTTGGAGACAAGGGTTGTGAGCCACTCGCTGCTGGCCCACAGCTCTGTTAACTCGTTCAGTGCTTCCATGCTGTCTTCCACTTAGAGGGACCCTATGAATCAGTGCCCCAAAATGCCCTATCCATGGCAGCCCTGCTCAGAAAGTGCAAGCTCAGGCCTGCAGCTTCCGTGATGACCTCAGCCCAACTCATCGTGCAGCTTCCCTTCCTTCTGCTGCCTTCCACTTTCTCCAGAATTCTAAATAGCGTAGCAAGTTATGAATCACCAAACAAGAGAAAATGCATCACACAGAAGAAGTAGAGGAGGGGGAGGAGGGGGAGGAGGGGGAGGGGGTCACAGCCTATAATCCAGCCGTACCCACCACTGGATCCCCCCAGAGCTCCTCAAAATTGAATTTGGCTTTGGGGCAGCAAGCGGCCTCTCCCAGCACTGCTTCCTGTTTTGAAGATGACTTTGTAGAACGTTTTTAGCAATATCTCTTTCTCATTGCTCTCATTTCAGACAGCTTCCTCTCCTGATCCATGGGGACCCCCAAAAATTCTGTGTAGGTTACAGAAGCCTCGTTCAAAAAAAGCTATTGTGATGCACTATGACCACAAGAGGGCGCTGCACTTCTATGCTCCCAATTGGCTATGGAGTATTTATTTTCTGTGTCAGGGGATTGGTTGTTGTGATGTGCCATCAAGTCATCTCTGTCTTGTGGCAGCCCGGCAAATGAAAGCCTTCCAAAATGTCCCATCCATGACAGCCCTGCTTAGCAGTCCTCAATTCACAGTGGTGGCTTCCGTAATGGAATCCATTCACCTCCTTTTGGCCTTTTCATCTTTTGCCTCTGACTTTTCCTAGCCTAATTGTCTTCTCCAGGGACTTTTGCCTTCTCGGGATGTGCCCAAAGCACAACCATTTCACTTTTGCCACTTTTGCTTCCAGGGAAAGCTCTGGCTTGATTTGATTTAGGTCCCCCTTGTTCATCTGTCTGTGTGTCCAGGGTATTTCCAAAGCTCTCCTCCATCACCATCTTTTGAACGCATCCATTTTCTTGCCATCAGCTTTCTTCCCCAGCCAGTTTTCTTACCTGTAGGTTGTGACTGTGAGTGCAACATCTTCGATGATGTTGACCTTTCCCCCAGGGAAATTACATTTGATGTTCTTTTCTAGTTCCTTCATTTTTACTCTGGAGAAACTGCCATGCACTGGCTGAGCCCAGACCACATATACGTATCTTCTTCCCAACATACAGATATCACAAGATTGCTGCATTTTCCCTGCATACAGAAATTGCAAGCTTGTGCACTTGTGAAAAAGCTACGCACTTTCCTCAAGCAGGAATGGGTGTGGTTACACAAACGTCCCAAGTAAAATCTGTGATGTGATTAGGAGCACATGACTCTGGTCTCTCTCATCCACATCTGCAGCTGTCCTAGCCCTGGGATCAGACACACTGTGGTTGTGGGAGGAGGGCTACAGCTGAGCCATGCCCCCCCCCGTATTTTGCTGCCAACCACAAGGTGGCACCCCACATCCCCCCTGCAGGAGCTGCCTGGTTTGGCAGCTGAATCGTCCTTCAGTGCTAGCAACGGGGAAGGGCGGCTGCCTCGCCTGAGGGGGAGTTTGGGGAAGCAGGGCAGGGCGGGTGTGCCACACGGGACTTTGTCCTCCAGAGGGTGATATGCCCCAGAACACTTAGGGGAAGGGGTTGGGGGGGGGGGCTGCCTCAGCTGCCCCATAGCCTCTGTTGCCAGAGGCAGTCACTTACTCCAACTGTGAGGTTCTGAGGCAGCACCAGGGCTCCCTCTTCTGGCCAGAGACCAGAAGAGCAGCTCTGGTGGTTGCAGGACCGGGCCCACAGTCAATCTCAGCAACCTGACTTGTTATGAGCACCACCTGGGAGCCCTGGGGAAGAGCTATGTAAGAACCTGCTCTCCCCTTCAGATGCCACCTTAGCAACAAGGGGTCTTGATGTTGTTGGAGCAGCCTGTGCCTTCAGGAGCCAGCTCATCTTCTTGCTCTTATCTCTGCTTCTGGACCATGCCTGGCTTCACCTGCTCTACTGAAATCCCAGGTACTGCTTCTCCTTGGCTTGTGTTTCTGGCTTTTGACTACCTTTTGCTATTTGGACTGGCCTGTCTTGCACTTCCGTTACTCACCTTGATCTCTGGACTGCCTGACCATGAGTTTGAATAGGCCTGTACAGTGTATTGGTTGTCTGACTCCTGGTGCTCTGGACTGTGACACCAACTCATGAGGGACTCCAACCCTGTGAAGGAGGGACAGTCCCTCCTCTTCCTCCTCCGTATTACTTACTTGCTTATTTGTTACTTTTCTATCCCTTCCTTTTCCTGCAAGGGGTCCAAAGTGGGTTACATAACCCTCTTCCTCTCCATGTTATCTTACAATAACCCTGTGAGGTAGGTTAAGCTGAGGGTCCATGATGGCCCAAAGCCAACCGATGAGTGTCATGGCTAGGTGGGGACTTGAACCAGGATCTTCCAACTCGCACTCTGGCCACTGGCTGTCCCTCAGGTGGCCTTCCGGAAAGGATGGCATTTTCTCCTCTCCTCTCTCTCTCCTGCAGATGTGGGAAACGGAGCATCTCTCACAGACCCTATTTAGCCCGTCCAGCAGCTGACCCATATTTTAATCTATTCTCATTTGGTCTGGCTGAACTTCACCCACTAAATGGATTCAGTCCCATGAATGGCTCCTTCAAAGTTCAAGCTGCAACCCGGAGTGGATACACCGTCCCGCTGGAGGTGTGATTTGCGTCCCTGGGAAGAAGGCTGCTCCTGGATACCCTTGAGCACTATGTGCACCTTATGACCCGTCACAAGCACCTGGAATGCTGCTTCTGGATTGCACCATTTCCAGCCACAGGTGGGGAGTCATGTGACTGAATTCTTCACCATAATGCACATATACACATACGCACAGAGAGAGAGAGAGAGAGAGAGAGAGAGAGAGAGAGAGAGAGAGAGAGAGAGAGATCTACATCTATAATCTTTCAATTTGTGTAATCTTCACTGGCATGCTTATTTGGGAAAGCATTCAGTCCACTGCATCTCCCCTGGCATTCGCTGAAGTGGTACAGTCCAAACTCAGGTTTCCTATCACACCTGTAGTTCATGAGGCTTCAGGTGAACCAAGCTATGTGGGTCTTGGTCCTAGAAACCTGCTAGGTTAC